ATATATATTTTGTTTGATCAAATGAGAGTTCGACATGCTTTTATCATCCTACTATCTATCAAAGCATGAGTTACATGAGAATTAGCAAGTCCTTAAAATTCTTTTAAGTATGTACCTCTTCACCTACCTGCTTATGCAATGGCAAACACAGTCTTTCTTCTGTATCTTGCTTCCTCTTCAGCCAAATCAGGGAATTTTCAAACTCAATTGAAGCTTCTGCAGTGAATTGTGTTTGTCTGCATCCATACCAATGTAACTCATCTAGTGATCATCCTCATTTACGCCAGGGCAATTGGATAGAAGAGCTTCAGTTGTTTCATACTGAATCACATATAGCGAAAAATTGTCAGTGTACTTAACAAACTCAACATTAAGCTGACAAAAACATTGACAAAAGAAGAATCGAAAGCATTCCATTACCTGGAAACCGCAAAAAGGGCAATACCGATGTTCATCTCTCAGCTTCATTAATATCTCTTGCAAATCCTGCAACCAATAGAGCTAAAATTGTCAATGTTGATACTCTTAATTCTGAACTGATAGCCTCAAACTCTACTCAATTAAGGTGAAAGAGACCAGTTGTTTTCTAGAGAACGTACCTCTTCGGTGATCTCCTCCTCTTCTTCCTCTTCTTCAGCAGGCTTACCATCCTCATCAACCTCGTTTTTTTTCTCAGGAACAACCTCTACGTTCTCAAGTTGATCAAGCGCCGCTTTGGCCTTCCTAAAGTTAATCACAACTCTTTTTTTACGCCATTGAGACTTCTGTCTAGACCCGAAATCCTCCAACATTTCCTCCACTTTTCTCTTCTCATTCTCTGCCTCAATCTCCTCTTTTTTCTTCTTTTCCTTATGTGGATCCTCTCTTCCCACACCAGCTCTCGATCTTCGAATATCCATAGTCACTGGCTCAGCCCTACCTGACCCTTCTTTACCAAGAGCAGAGCCTGGCTTGTAACCCATTTGTTTCAACAGCTTAAACCCTATGTTAGACTCACCAATCGGAGTGTCTACTATACGAGCCAATGTCTGCTCATCTTCTTCTATTTGTTTCCTCTCTTTCTCCAACTTTCTCCTCTCGTGCCAATTCAAAGTCTTTAACTTCTTCCGAGATGGTTCAACGTTTACACTCTTCTTCTCAGATTCCTGCAAAAGCATTCAGATTATCACCATACTTCACCTTATACCCAAATAAGATGAATTCCTCCAAAGATTCGGATCAGAAGCTTGACAGTTATGGACATATTTGTTCTAAGAAGTTTGTATTGAAAATACCTTTGTTTTTGTGGTCTGAGTAAGTTCAGGTGGGATAAATTGAGATAGATCTCCCATGTAGTCATCGTCTTCTTCTTCGATTTTCGCTGCTTCTCCTCCGAGCCCAGTATAATTTCTCGGCGATTCCGCCATTGCCGCCGACGGAGCTTGCGAGTTGCGAAAACGAACGCAAAGAGGAAGTAAAAAAGGATTCAAGAAAAGAGAAGAGAATACTTAATGGGCTTTAGTTGGGCCCAAAAGGATTAACTTGGGCTTTTATCTGGCTTTACAACCGTCTTCCTCTCTCTCTCTGAAGAGAGAACATTGGAAACTTGGCATTTTTGCTCCTCTGCTTGTATCTGTGTCTCATTTTCTGCGTCTCTCGATTCTTCAAGTTCCTAAGGTGAAATATTCTGAATCTCTTCACTCTTCTTTCTGGTTTTAGTCGTTGTTTCTGCAGATTTTTTTGTTCACTAGTGATGAATTCTGGATTAACAACCTTATTGAAGTTTCAATCCATGGAATTTAGTTTTTTTTTTTTTGCTCATACATTATTCAAATCCCGGATTCTATGATCTTCTTCTCTCTACTTGTAATCCATGTTCTTAAGCCCTATGATTGTTTTTCTTATTGATTGGAAATTAAGGACCCAATTAAAAAAATTGAAACTTTATCCTTGTAGGAGAAAACAATGGATCCTTCTGAAATGAGATACTTGGAAGAGGAAGATGGAGCGATGATGAAGACAATCAAAGGTTCTGTGACTGGTTTTGCAGCTGGGACTATTTACGGAACGGTCATGGCAACATGGAAAGACGTCCCTCGTGTCGAAAGAAATGTTGCTCTTCCAGGACTTATCAGAACATTGAAGATGATGGGAAGCCACGGGCTGACGTTTGCTGCAATCGGAGGTGTTTTCATCGGTGTTGAACAGTTGGTGCAGAACTATAGAGCTAAGAGGGATTTTTTCAACGGTGCTATTGGTGGTTTCGTAGCTGGTGCCTCTGTTCTTGGCTTTAAAGGTAATCTTTCTAATTCATTACTTGGTTGTGTCAAACATAGGACCAGTGTCTCTATGATTCATGCTTCTTGTCTGTAAACAATGGTCTATCAACTCTGCATTTGATTATGTAGGGTTTAGAATTGGGATTTTGGGATTAGTATGATGTTTAAGAGATTAGTTCAGTTGATTCATTAGTCTGTGATCCATAGGTTTTAGTAGTTCAATAGACATTCATGGGGAACGAACAATCTTGCTTGGAGAGAGAACTAGAAATATTATAAGTTTTATCATCTGGAACAAACTCGATCCTTTCCAAGAATATGTCATTCAAAGAGGGGCAAAGATAAAAAATGTATAATCGCCATAGAGGGTTTTGGCTTGTAGATTGTTAGAGAACTAAAGCTCCACACTATAACATTTGCTTCTACGGCATTGTGATCCGGGTTTTGGTGGATTTGTTGTAACTCTCTTACAGCAAGGAGCATCCCAACCGCAATATCTGCAGGTGCTGCTCTAGCAATCACCTCTGCTTTGATCGATTCTGGTGGCCAGACCACGAGAGTAGACACAGGCAGAGAATACTATCCATACACCGTCGAGAAAAAGAGCTGAAGCTGATTCTTGATTTTCTATGATGGTGACGAAAAGTTCTTGTGGAGAAAGATTGCAATGGCTAAAGTAGCATATGAACTAATTATTAGCTGATGCTAAGTCCATGAGATCTCTCTTCCATGCCCCTTTTGTTTTGTATCTGGAGATGTGAAAATCATGTACTCTTGCACATTCCCATATCTCTGTCTGAATGAATGTTTTTACAATAAAAAAGCATTGTCTTAGATCTTCAGACTTTGCTTCTACATGTAACTTAAACTCTTCCATTCGCACAAATCTGTTAATCTCAATATGCTAAAAACTAGTTGCTCCGAGCTAAGACCAAGACATGAATATCAAAAAAAAAGTTTTTGCAGCTTCTGCTTATAAGTTATAACAATTCACGGAAGCCACCATCATGCTCTCTATTCGAAGCTGAGATTTTCAAAAGAAAAAAGGAGGATAAAAACAAGGGATTGCAATGTCATAAGG